GGGAGCGAGTCGCCGTCCAGCCTCGGACATCTGATGTCGGTCCAGCAGCTGCGTCGGTGCCCAGCTGACAAAATAATGTGATATATATTTTAAACAGGGCTTATACGTGGCTTTATTGAAGGTTCGCAATGTGATAAACAAACTTTACTCAACTTAACGAGGACCCACGCAGACGAGCCAATTATAATGCCAAGGCGCTGGAAAAAGGGGGAGGGGGCCCCATCCGTGTGCAAGCCAATGATAAGTAGGGTGACGTGGGTGCCAGCGTATGCGTATGCTTGAAGTGAGTGTGGTAGGGCGCCGAGGGCGTGGAGTCTGCGTGGATTAGTTAAGGCCGGGCGGGGGCTCCCAGGGTTGTTATCCAGCGGGCCTCTTCCCGTGTAATTCGTCGGTGCGTGGGATTCTCGCCAGTTGGGCGTGTTATCAGTGCATCCAGTTCCGTTTTTGCCCCGTTTAGATATTATGAGCATTCAATACTAAATATCATTGTAGTATAATCAAATATTAAATATTATCACATACCATCATTGGTGGAGGTGGGGTACCGTGGTTAAGGGCGCACAGCCATGTGCAGAGAGACAGCCGTTCATGGTGCCCGACCGGACCCACCATCGCGCCAATGCCCCGGTCACCCGCTTCATCCTAGCTCTGTGGCTCACGCGAGTGTGTGATGATGTCAGGTGTGCCGGAGTCACAACGTGCCGAGCCGTGTGCCAACACCATCTGGCTCGTGTGTTGACCAATAGGCTCCTCATTATGAACTCGCTCTTGAGGGGAGGCGCGGTAGCGGTAGCCGGCGACACACAGCATCCGGCGGCGGCCAGCCAGCAGCGCAACGCACGCCGCCCACCGCAGAACCCCCCCCCCCCCCACGCACACATACTGAGCACAAAGATCGAATCAAATTTCCGAGCAGAGCAAAGGTACGACTTGGCAAGCGCTAGTGCCCAGTGCTGGCCACCGAGGTCAGGCACTGTCCTTGCTGAGCGGCAATATCCGGCATGTCAGGGCTGACAGCGCTCCGACCGTTCGCTGTCTGAGAATGGCACCCGATCATGTCCCAGTGCAGCCGTCCGAACGTACCCGGCCGGTCACTTTGGCATTGCCACTTCCCAGCGATTGGGGGGGGGGGGGGGCTGGGGTACGCTCAGTACAAGTATTGCGCAACAGTCCGAAATTGATGCATGCCCGATTGCGAAACATGCCCGATGGTCTGGTGTTTGAATTGTCAAAGTCGTCTTGCACTATGGAGGGAGTGTCGAGAACAGCAGTTTGTGCAACGAGGTTGGTGCTGAGGAGGGGCGTGTTGAGAGGCAAGAGAACGATAGCGCAAAGAGAGCAACAGTCGTATTGATCGGCGCGTCTTAAGAACCACACGGCATCATCAAAAGTCAAAAAACCGTCGCATATATGTAAAGTCATGAGCTATCATGCTTGACAACCGTTGCTTGTACGCGATGATATTTAATTGGAGAACGAGCAATGTTTCGCAGTTCTTATTCGATTTTCTTGATATCTCGATCGACACATCTGTCAGCATAAACAAAAGTTTGATTGTCTGACCGCTGGCTCGATGTCCCGTGTTGGCGGCCCCATCAGCTATTACTAGAGACCGGGTACCAAAACTACCCTGGTGCATCCGAACAGAAACTACACCCCTGCCTCGCCACAATTCAGCTGATTCATTTCGTCTTGCCATCTTAAATGTCCACCAACAGCCACCGGTTTGGCCAGCTGCTATATAACTGCTACTAAAACGCGGACAAATGAACGTTCATGCAGGCACGTTATTTCTTTTCGAATAAAATAGCGCAATCAGTACAGACGTTGGTCACCAGTTAGTCAAGATGCGTGATTTTCGCACAGCTAAAACAGTCATACCTGATATTCCCACCACAAAGGCTGATCCGATACACTGGCACACTCCATCTACAGCACGCACACCAGCGCAGTTCAGGTCAGCACCAGATGGTAGCTGGCTACTGGCCATCGCACACGAAGAAAATGCGTCCCCTCAACGCCAGTGATAACAGGCGACCCTCCTCTTCAACTTGATTGACGAAGACGTCCACAATCTGTCAGTCCTGGTAACGCAGCGAGCGGGAGAGAGAGAACAGGGCTGTCAGCATCAGGGTCATGGTATTCGGCGGTTATGCCGCGGTGCGCTAGCTGCAATGCGACAAAAGTAAATGCCAGTCTGATCGAAATTGCGCCGCAGTTCGTGCCTTTGCGGGGATCCCATGTCTGACACGGCCGAGATTGCTAACCGGCAGAAACATTTTGGTAACAACGTCAGTGACTGAACAGTAGTTTCAGGAAAAGATTTCATGCGTACTAAAAGCTGTCGCCATATGTTTTATGAGGAAATTAGGGTGTGTACGTTTTGTGTGTTCGATGTGCTTATCATTTCGTACAAGGCGGAACAGAAAGTACCGATTGTTCTTGTGGGAAGACAACTGCGTTTGAGTCCCGCTGCATTGTTCTCAATGATGAATGATCAGGCCCATGCTATGAATCTATTACATCAAACCTCGGTATACTTTATGATTTTATAATCCGGATTAGACGGCGTTGGAGACCGGTGAACTGTGATTTATGATAATCATATTTGGCCTGCTGACTCCATCCTTACGTAATTTGCACCTATCCAAGTCACCAAACAGAGAATTCCACTTCGTAAACGATTTATCCGCGTCAGCAGCGTCCCTATGCCTGGCTCACCGGTGCGCAAATGATAGAGCTTCTCCTTGTCAAACATGTCGTAGCCCGTCGCCTCCACCGGCCAGGAACCTGGCATAGCAAACGCTGGTACTGCCGGCTGCGTAGCACCGGCTCCAGCTTCGGCACCGACACCTGCGAGCAGGCGATCTCCAGCCGCTGGACACGTGATCCCAACGGGCTTGCTGATGTCGTAGAGCACGCGCAGACCTGGGCGGACGTGGAATCGCTGGGGTCAGTGTCCCAGGCACTGACGACCAGGCAACGGATGCACAGTTGTGACCCAGCACAGTTCGTCATGCGCTAGGATTTCAGCAATGGATGGAAATGGGATTGGATTTCAGGCTGGTAGTGAGCAGACCCACCTGAGAACTCGCGAAAATGCTGACTTAGCTCAGCAGCAACTAAAGGAATGCATATGGTGGAAAAAGTGTTAGCGGTTTAGTCATACTCCATTAATCGCCTCGTCTGAAACGTTGCGAAAGTTTGTAAACAAAACGCACCAACAAGACTTCCGTAATGAGGAGCAAAATATGTGGCGAAAACATACCATCGGCTTCAGCATTTTCTATAAGAAATATTCCTTTGGTGCAAACTGCCTCGCAAATAAATACAACACATTACTGCAAATCCTTTTCCTTCTTAATGGTTGATTTTAAGTGTCCATGCATAGATGTTAGTGTTACCTGTTTAACTGCGTACGGTTGATGTCCATTAAAAGCGATTTCCAAGCGTGGCCACATTTCGTTTCATGGTGATCAAACCGGCCAGATGGCCTCGTAAGTCCACATTACTCAGATGTGCATCGTCTACAAGTGAGGATCGCCTTTCATGAACTACCGCTTAACTAGCGCCATAACTACTTCCTACCACTCGCCACATATCATAATTTTACTACAGGTTGCCTGGCCGCAGTCTTCACCGGCATACTGGATCGGAATGTGGTGCTGTAAGTTCCAAGTTACTATGCTTAATGCCCCTCAATATAGTAGGAGGTACTGGGTAAACGATGTTATAGTGTCAAACGCAGATGATATTGGCGGTTCTCAATATACTGAGCTCTGCTCATCCTCAAGAGTAATCCTCTTCAGGATGAGGGCAGCTCGAAATAACATGTGTCGTATTATAATCGTCGTTCAACAGCATAATGTCGTTTAGGCCTTAGCTCTCGGTGTGATGAAGGTCGTTAACTCTGCATACGAACTTTGAACTCGTCATGCCAGAAACCGAGGGCTGAAGGCCTTTCTTACATCAAGGACTGTGGTGTATCATCTCACCGGAGATCTGTAGGAAGCCGCCCTTGATCTCGTCGTGAGCGGACGCGGAGTGCTCGAACGCCTTCCAGAGCGTGTCTCCTGTCACCAGCAGCACGTCCAGCATGTTGCCGAAAGGCTGCACAGCCTTGATCTGAGCTTCGCTGACGTTGCCCTTGCGGATCGACTGCCGAATGCCGCCGCCCTGGCATATCGCCGCTGTCACCTGCAGACGCGCAGTCGGAAAATGACGTCATTGGTCCCGCTATTCGAAACAGGGTTGGGGTTTGCTGCACACGCTGAGGCAGAACAACCGGAGTGGCAATTGCCTGTGGTTGTAGTGTTTTATTTTTCAGACCTTTTTTGCTTCTGTGCATTTCTTGAGCATTTGGTGCATTAACACGATTTTTCTGGCACCCTTGACCACATCTCAAATTGACTCGTGTTAGTGCAACATGTTTGAATAATAGGTAAGTGGCGCAAAACTATTTCTATCAACTGTCATAGTTCTGACCGGCTGATGTTTCGCCAGTCCCCACCACAAAGGTTATATGAGATTGTGACACCAATAGGCATAAATGTTACGGGTGTCGCAAAGTAACATTAAAATTAGTACCACAGGGAGGCTATCAAATTACAATTTACCTTAGCTGCAATCCCACCTCACCTCAGCTCAGCCTCTCACTTAAGGTCGTGGTTCCACATCACCTCGCCCTATCTACTCTCCCTAGATTGAGATCCCGCCTCACTTTGCTCCAACCGCTCTCAGAGGGCTGCAGTACAGCCCTAAGCATGCCGTCGGTGATGAGGTTGCCGATGTTGCACTCCTGCTGTCTGCAGTCGGCCCGGTCCCCAGACAGGTGCACCAGGCTGGTAGCGATCACCTTGGCCTCCTCCGCGTGAAGCTGGCACAAATTCCGCCACGTCAAATGACTTTCGGAGTCTCAACCCCAAAGCTGACCAGGCGACATAATCTCTATAGCAGGAACCGCATCACTCACATTACGCCTGCACTACCTGAATGTCAGAGTGTACACTATGCGTGCGGACAAGAGCTGATCCTCCTCTGTCCGCACCTCTGCGCCTTTCAGGCACCAGCGCTGTGCACTCATTACACAATGTGCTATATCATGATAATTTTTCACCATCCAAGGACGATGGTGGTATTTGGGACTGAAGATGGAAAAGGAGTGACGCGACATGCCACGACTTACATAGTACCTCCACACGCAAAACCGCACCCACCAAGTCCCTGTACTTTTGCAGGGCTTCCATGGCCTCCTGGTCCTCCGGCCCGTCCAGGACCACCGGCTGGCCTGACCACGACTGCACTTCGCCGTCACCGTCAAACGTCACGTTCAGCACGCCCAGGTACTTGCCGTACTGGTACGCTTGCACGACCAGCACGGTACGGCCAGAGGGTTGCAGCACCACCGTTGGGTAGGGCCCCTCCACGGGGTTGCCGTGGGGGGCTTCGCCTGCGATAGGTGCTCAGCTCAGACCGCATGGCTTGGGTGGAACACAAGCGTTGCAACGATGCTGAGCGACGATGAGAAAAAAAAGGATGAAGAAAGAAGATACAAAGCACCTACATGGTTTAGGTGGAACATAGGCGTCACGGCGGGGCTGAACGATGATTAGAAAAGAAGCCAACGATGTATATATATATATATATATATATATATATATTCTCATTTTCGTCCGTACCTGAGTAGAGCAGGGAGTGCGAGTGTCCTCCGACGATGACGTCGATGCCGTCAATTTTCTCCGCCATCTCCTTCTCCCGGATGTAGCCAGAGTGGCCGGCAGCTATGATGATCTGGGCGCCCTGCTTCTGCAGCCGCAGAGCTTCTGCCTGCAGCGCTTCAATCTCGTCCACAAACCGAATTCCGCGAGCGACGCTCGCTAGCTCCTGGTGACAGATTCATCGGCGAGCCCGGGTCAGGTCAAAACACCGATTTTGCCGGGTCTTGGACAAAACTTGCTGAAGAGGCGCACGTGCAACCGGATGCAGAGTTCCGTTCAGCTCGATGGCTCAGTTACGATCGTACCCGAGCAGATACCTTACCCCCGCTGCGCTGAGGAGAGGGCGGAGAGGATTAATATATTACGTCCTCTGGCATGTGAATGACCTGACTTTAACAGCCTACGCTTGGTACGCAAAAGCTAAGGACAGGAAACAAAGTTTGCCTTTGCGGAAATCTAGCCCCGTCGTACGAAATGTGAGTAATGGTAAAGGATCTTATCAGGATGGTTGTTTTTGAAATTCTTAAACAAGAATGCATTCTACCGTAGCAGGTCGTAAAAGTGCAGCCAAGGTGATTGCCCATTATGTGCGGAGAAGTTATATTATTGTTTGCGACATTGTACTATAAAGTGCTCCAAAAATGATAGTTCGTACGATACTCATGATTCAGCGGACATTCGTCAGCTGCAACGAAAGCATAGATAAGCTGTCAGCAGTAAATACCGCACCTGTGTGGAATTAGGTAAGGAAATCTTTGCAGGTATATAGAAGGTAGTGCTTGGTGTTTCACTGCTGGAAAAGACTAACCTCCGTTGAATACTGTAGAGGAAGCGCCTGCAAGCTCCACGAGCCTGGGTAACCGGTTGAATACCCTTCGCTCGGGTGAGGGTAGGGGTGGGTGGGGGTGGGGGCAATATACACCCCGCCCCCCCCCCCCTCCCAGCCAAGATCTAGAAAACTGGGAGAGCTAGAGAACCGGATTCACAGAGCGTATTGACCTGTATGTGGGCTCACCTGTGTCAAAATTTGAGGCCCATGGGTCATGACCCTCGTGTCAAAGTTCAAGCAAGATCAAACTCCAGCTTGGTGTCCGAAGTCCCTCAGACCTCCTCACGCAACCTTCTGGAGCGCCTAGATATATGTTCTAAGAGGTCACTGGTTTTCCTTTAAGGTCAGTTCTCTTATGACCTTTCGAAGTAACGACGACAAAAAACCTACCAGAATGCCTTTATTTTGTCATTTGAATAAGCGTCAAGGATTTCACTGGGCGGTATTGTACTGAAACAGCAAATATTCACCCGGGTCATTTAAGGCCAGTAACCTACTGCGACCTTAAAGAAACCAACGGAACATGTGTGTTGCGGTCCCTGTCATCAGAAAATTCGAAATGAGCACCAGAAACCCCCTCATGCAGCACGCTCTCGACTTAAAAGCATGTTGGTATAAACCCCGGTCTGACCCTCATACTTTTATTATACTTTCATACCCTAGGTCGATGGAATTTGTTGTAGTTCTACATTCGATTAGGTTATTGCCTACGACGCTACCCCAGAGGTGTATGGCTCCGTCTAACACTCCGTTGTCTGGTCAGGTTCAGCGATTCCATAAAAATTTCCTTCGCCGACAGCCATGGCCTGGATTTCACCTACCAAAGGTCGGCGACCTTACACGGTACACCTCATTTTCATGCTAATGCACTACTCAATTGCCCACAGGGGTGCAAAAACTGGTGCGGCTACGCCAGTTGTTCGAAAATCATTCTGGAAAAACCCTCGAGGGTTTGAGGCTCCCACCCGGACGCATCTTAACGAACACTGACATTGAATCGTACTGATATCGACAGCTGTTAAACGCAACAGGGTGTTAGAAAATGTGGACCGTATTTGAGCTGCAAACGTCCGCTTAGCCCGATGGAAAGGTGGCTGATACTGAACGTAGAGTAGACGATGGAGTGACGATAGTAGACGATAAAGTGACGATCAAGACCACAACGACGGGGACAGAGCTGGACAGAATGAAGAAGCAGAGAGACTCACAAACTTTCCGCCATAGGCTATGTGATGGCTTACGGCTAAAAACTCGTCACCTAAAGCTTCCTCAATTTGGTGTGGGGCGAGGCCACGATAAAGTAGGAGCACAACGGTTAAAGGCGAGTTAGTGCGACGCAATGGCGCGGTAAAAAGATACTAATAGAAATTACATGTACCTCCACGCACCGGTGCGCTGCTGCTGTTACTGTTATTGTTACCCAGCTGTTTCCAATCTATCTTTTTCGCCCTCCCCCACGTGAACTACCGCTGCTAGTTCGTGAGTCTCTATGGTACTTAATTCGCTTCGAATTTAGTCCTCATTGTCGTCACGTCGTCTTCGCTTTACCATCTGGCTGCGTCCAGGGCAAGCATGCATCATCTCTCCATCGTGCTGGATGGTCACCTTGAAGGTAAATAATCGAGATGCCCTACTGCCAGGAGCCTTTCTGTGAATTTAGAAAGGCCGTAAATTTGAATGTGTACAATCATTTACACCCATCAGTAAATTTTGTTTGTAAGGTATCCTTGCTCCATTGCCAAACGTTTCCAGTTATTGACATTGGTCAAGTAGTTGCAGGTCACTTTTTGCGAATATAAAAAGTTTGTTCAGACCTTTTATTATTATGACCATCGTTCGTAGGTAACAGGTCACGCAGTTCTTTGCAATATTCAATACAATTCCTTAAGAAACGCGGCGGGCTATCATCGAATCTGACTTTTGGCGCAGACAATTTGTTCATCTAATATTTTCTCCTCATATGCCGTTATGTTTCGACACCACTACAAGCCAATATCAGCCGTTCAAGTAGCTTGGGAAGCAGCGAATGTACGAGTTCTAAAGATAATACAGCACAGGCTGGACGTGCGTCAGGATCTCGGCCCCCCGGGATCGCAGCAAACAGCATAAACGCCGTCTGACAGAACGGAGACCTGCTATCAGTGTGGCCAAATTGTATGTTGCTGCTTGCAGTGCGTATTGCACTGCGCTTTGCACACTAGCACCCACCATAGATAGTTGGTTGTAGACACTTTGCAATGATCAACGTCAAATTTCGACCACAAAAAACGGATGCAGACTCTCCAATGTAAACTGCGGTTGCCTCGTATCCTCCACAAATCACTCAACACCTCGCACTGTTACTCCTATGTGAATACTAGCAATCGACCGGGGTACCAAAAGGGATTGCCCGGAGCGTTCAATGCAATGAGAGCTCCCTCGCCCAAAGAGATAGGAAAATATCCTTGTTTAGGCCGTACGGATGTTGCATTCAAAGGCAAACACAGAGGCCCAAACTGGTGTCACTTCCAGTCGCCAGAATATTCAGGTTACACACACACACACGCACACGCACACGCACACGCACACGCACACGCACACGCACACGCACACGCACACGCAACACGCACACCACACACACACACACACACACACACACACACACACACACACACACACACACACACACACACACACATATATATATATATATATATATATATATATATATATATATATATATACACAAATAAATATATATGTCAGATAGCTGCAAGTCCGTCGATTCCTCTCGACATACCGGCGTTTCGACGGTGGTGAAGCCCATGATGCCGACCATATGGTCGCCGATTTGCTGGATGATGCTGGAGCGGCACAGGGCCGTGATGGGAGAGGCGTGAGGTCCGAAGTCGATGTTGGTGCACACCAGTGGATGCGACACGTTGTTCATGTAAGGCAGCAGGCCGGTCAGGCCGTCGTCAAACTCGTGGTTGCCCAGAGCCTGTAGATATGATTTCGGTCAGGACACGGGCGAACAGTTGTGATTTATTGTCCGTGCTATGGATGGGCTGTGACTCGATTTCTCGGGTTTGCTCTTAAGCGGGTGCATATCTTATGGAAAATATTTTGCTTCAGTTTTGTTCAAGATGTACTAAATTGTGTACAGTATGTTTTATCCTTGTTCTCAAGACCTCTTATCACGAGTACGAGCATTACATCGAGGTCACAGTCCTCAAGTCTAGAGAAATAAGGTCACCTAGACCCCAAATCCAATTCGCTCCCGGAATTTTCGAGCTTAGCTTATAGGCTTTGCAAGAGTTTGTTGTTGTTTTTTGGACTTTTAAAGTTGTCTTTATCGGAGCCAAAACGTCGAGGGCTCGCGTACATTACGAGTCCCTGCACTTTACATCCGGAGGGGCCTGACCCCACAGGCAGTGTGTCAAAAGTAAAGATTTTGGATGGAAATGTTTGAGAACTTTTTTCAACACGCAAAATGTCGTCTGAAAAAATAAAATCAACGAACAAATTGATTAAGCACATGCTAGAAAAGACAAAATATTGGACACCTGTCACCAAAGATGTTGAATTTTCAGGCATAGATAACGTATGTTGTCCCGGTATTCAATTCATCAGCACATATAATTCCTCGTTTATTTGATTTGGGGATTTCGGCGAAGACTTCAGTCCTACAGGGCACGTTTTCCTGACACCATCTTGCAACATTGTCCACAGGTTTCACGGCACTCGCGTCATCCACTTTTTAGGCCTGTATTTGTGCTCTTTTGTTCCTCACGTCAGGTTGGACGGATGCCCTTGCAACAGGTCCCAAGCGCGGTGTCGGTACGCATCATGGATAGACCAGTAGGAATGGGCTTTCAATGGATAGCTTATTCACGGGGGTGGGGTTTCACAAAATGGAGTCGGGTGAAGGGCTAAGCGGGGAAAATGGCTAAACATACCTCAAAATACACTAAAAAAGCACTTATACCCAGACCTGGCCTACGCTTTGCTGTTATTTGTATCCCATTTATCTGACTGATTGAATAGGAAAGTACGGCCCCGGTAGAATAAATATCTTCCAAGCGCGGTGTCAGAGACTGTGCGAACAACGCACTACTTTTTGTGACAGCTCGAGCATGGGCCAAAGATGACGATGAGCCAGATCCGTGAATTTGCTTCAACATTTGTTCAATCCACACAACTGTGCGTTTGGTTTCGGCCGGGCCCTTTCGGACACTTTCTGGTGGTTTAGAGCAGAGCTAACACCACGGTAACAACGCAAGCGGGTCAAATCAAGCAGACATATGCAGCCCTGCCCAGTTCAGCAGGCATATGTAGATAATGGCGTGGTACGCCAGAGTTCAGCGTGGGAGGCCTGGGGCGAAACCATCTAGTAGTTCAGACTTTCGCCTCCTACGTGAAAGTTCCGAGCTTTAAAGGGAGTGTTCCACATTTATATGGGGTTTTGAACTGAAAGAGACATTTTAAAGACATTTCGGTGCTGTTCACAATCCTTCCGTTCTTAAAACCCAAACCCCTCAAGTTTCTGAGCTACGCGCCCGTGAGAATGGGGAAGGTATATAGGGGAGAATATTTCAGCCACCACGGCATTCATGACGCCATAATAACGTCGTTCATATCCTGCCATTCCGTAAGCCATGCAGCGTTCAAGGCCAAGAAAAATCCACTTGTCGGGGCGTTCATATCTAGTCATATCGTTTGTGAGCGCGATTCCCAGATACAACACCTTGGCTTGTGCTTGGTTAATTAGCTCTCAGTCAATGCTGTGCAAGGTACGATGACGTAATCAACATATGACGCATTGGGGAGCATGTTAATTGAACCGAAAATTACTCCGTCTAGTGCAGTCTTTTCCACTTAAAAAGCATACCAACGACTCCAAGTTAGCTTGATCCATCATATCTGATATTTGGCTAATCGGCATGCTTCAATATCTTCAAATGTGAATCTTTCCTCTCATTTTCTGGCACTGAGGCCCTGGGCGCTACATGACCACCTCAGTCGAAACCATTTAACAAAACCTCACGATTGGTGACGACCTGAAGCACATCTCTTTGAAAAGACGGAAGGCTCAGGTGCTGCTGGCAACTCACCATGGCATCATATTGCACCCGGTTGATCATGTCCGCAGCCACGTGCCACTTGAACATCGTGTAGTATTTATGACCTTGAAAGATGTCGCCACCGTAGAGCATCAGAGTGTGCGGCACGTTCTGCTTGTAGGTGTTGACTGCGTGGACCAGCCTGCCTATGCCGCCGTAGCACTGGCCAGAGTCCTTACACTCTCCCGTGGTGGAGCTGACCGGGTCGAAATGCGCGTGAATGTCGTTGTTGTGGAGGATGGTGATGTCGAGCTCGCAGGTGACGAAGCAGGCCGCCAGGAGCAGCAGAAGAACGCGCGATGGAAACATGACGGAGCCGTGATAGTGTGCTGGAAAGAGGAAACAAGCTCGGTTAAACAACAGTCAATGGATATCGGTTTGGAGCTGAAGCGTCAAGTGTAAGCTATCGATATCTAAAAGAAGTAAAAGTGGCATAACTTTGCTGTTAAAAGGAGCGGTGCAGCAATCATGAAGTACGGTGATGATTGCGTGCTGAAGGCGTGTGTGATCCTCTGCTTAGTTTATTAGGATAGGTACCCCTACCGTATCCGCCTGTGGTGCCGCGCTTGACTGCAAGGTAAAAACGTGGGTAAATATCGAAAAGACGGATAAGGCAAACCACTTCTTTCGTTGAATATCGTCACACATCACACAACAAAATCAACTTTGGACTTTCACGAAAAAGGACCACCGCGGCTTCCCAGCCAGCCCGCTACTGCTTCTGTCCCGCAAAAGGACCATCGCCAAGAAGGTCAAGACACCTGCAAAATGATGCCAACGATCTACATCACACCATTCCCTGTCTCCCAAAGTCGCAGCCGGGGATGTGAACGCGCGCGACCGATCGGCAGTCCCCTACCTCGCTGGGTTTCCAACCACGGCTCACACCTCTGATAGGAGCAGGATGCACGCGCCCGCCCCCACCTCCCCGGCCGGGCCTCTGACGGCGAGTGGCGGCTGCCGCCAGCGCCCTCTGCCGGCCAGCACGCCGACCCGACGGCCGGGCGCGGCAGCATCTGCGCCGCTAAACGTGCGGCCCGAGCTGTGACGTCACAGGTGTTCTGCTGTCTCTGGCTAGAGCGCCATACATCATGTTGTCATACATGCGCACAGGCGACGGGTCTGCAGGAGCTCGTCGTTGCGCTGGTTTAGCCGCTTTCTCCGGCACCAGTTGGTGGAACCCCGTGCGGGCGGTTCTGCTTATGATGCTTATTATGTCGTCAAAAAGTGCAACTCAATTCTTTCCTGCTTGTGAAGAACTCGTCATCGCCTTACGCTCGAGGTTCGTTAACTCTCATCCAGCTTCATGTTTTCCTTCATCTTCTGTGCTGTCTCTCCGTCTGGGGTAGGGCTGAAGCGTGTCACCTAAACAGGGCCCAAGGGGTGATAAACTTTGGGCTCAGAATCGCCACCGATGCTCGTCGTGCGGGATTCAGTGGCGGCGACTGTTCAAGCGCTGGGCTGGCGCGGTGTTAGTGACCTTGCCACCCACAGCGACGGCCTCGCTGTATTCAGGACCTCTAATGACTCGCGGGCTCCGGTGGCGTTCAGGCCTCTATTCAGCCCACGTACTGCTGTATCACAGCGTGCCACCCGGGCGGTAGCGGCAGTCGCGCTTGATCTGCCAGCTCTGCGCCTGTCAGTGGCACGCGGGGCTTTTCCGTGTCGCGCGGCCTCGTCCTGGAGCTTTCTGCCGCCGATCATCGCCGCCTCTCGCACCCGCAACGAGTTTCGTACCAGGCTAGAGGATTTAGACGGTCCCGTTGTGTAATCATTGCTTGCTTGCCGTTGTGCAACATGAGTCGACGATTTAGATTTTCATCATCTATTTTGTTTTTGACAAAGTTGTGTGGACGGCTGGATGGTTGTTAACGAATGTGACTGCGTTGTAATCATTTTTAACATTGCATCATGCTACTATTGCAATTATAACGAATCAAACAATAAGCCACCTGTTGGAATAATCCGTGAACACAGTGAACTGAAGTGAACTAAAACGACGTTATGGCGCTATGAAACAAGCCGCGCTCAACCTCAAGAGAGCGCTTCACTGCCACCTGACACCTGTGCCTCATCGTCTCTTGAGGACGAGCTAAACTAAAAATATTGAGCATCACCAATGCAATCGTTGTTTAGCACTACACCGTCGCTTAAGCAGCACGTACTGTTATAATGAAGGTCGTTAACTCAGCATAAATTTTTTAACTCATCATTCCTTTATGTAGCATTCCGTCGAATTTGCGTGACAATGGCCTGATCTTCGTGTGTCACTTTAGCTAAACAGAGTGAACCAAGCTGCCCTATCATTTGTCACACTAGCATGTTGACCAATATGTGTACTACGAACATTGCAAAACACACGTGCTGGGAAAAGCGACGCAAATGAAAAGCACGATGGTCATAGTAGTGGGCAGGGTGTTCGATCCAACAGCTCCAGGCCTTCCCCCTTCCCCCAAATTAGGCTCTAGTCGCCCCCCCCCCCCCACAAGACAACAAGAGGAGAGAAGATGGGGGGAAAGTGGGCAAACCGGGAAAAATCTCATTGTTGGTGTACTTGGGGGGGGGGGGGGGGGGTAGTGTGCGCCATTTTCATCGTTGACTACCCCGACTGACTTGGCGAATCTGTGGGTTGTGAAATACGGATGAACGGAATCTTCGGATCGGATTGCGTTACGCGTGCTGGTTTCGCCTGCGGCAAGCTTCGTAGAAAAAATTTCATAAAATGATAAGTTCACCCGATGCAAACAAGTATTTTCCCACGTGAGCCAAAGACAGGTCTGGGGAGAGAGCCATTTCTCCTGCCGTAAGCTATCAACGCCTTGCGCTACCATTGAGAGGTTACATTTGCCTTCGGTTCTCAGCTGGGAGTGCTGTGATTTAGTGTTGTGTTTTCCGGTGGTAAGATACGTTTTGCTGCGTCACTGGGATAGAGGAAGGGCAGTCTGGTTGTCATTCCTGGGTAACAGCTTAGAGAGAACATGAAGCACAGATGTTGCCCAGTTCCTTATGTGTACGTGCTAAGTGACCAACACAAATCCCGCGGTAGGGATGCATGATGGAAAATTCGTCGGAAGCACTGAACTAATGTTGTCGCACTCGGCACATGAGCAAAGAAATCCCGATTGTGCACGACTTGCTTTTATTTGTGCGGAATGGACATTTGAGGGGTAGCCTTGTCTAATTCCTCTTCACATGTTTTCCCCCGAGAAGCACATCCATGACAATCGAGAAAAACGATTTCGGTTACGATGCATTGCGTGTAAGACAGCATGCGCCTAAATTCCGGGCTGTAGCTGTAAACCTCGCTTTGGATAAACATGTCATATATTAAATCAAATCCAGCCCCAAGATGGGCTACTCTGAGGGATCCTATTTCCCCTTCACTTTTCATTCATACGATGCGACGACCACATCAACTAACTTCTCACAAAAGCGCTTTGTGCATAGGCTAAATTACCATATATGGCGGTCGTCCGGAAAAGTTTAGAAGTCAATGCTCGTCTGTCCGCCTTGTGCACCGAAGCTCGTGAGCGCGCGGCGCCAGAACACCCGGCGGAACAGCTGTGGCGCCGGGGTGCCATCGGCCACTGGCGCGTGGCTGTTGTCGCGTGCCGTCAGCCGGGCCTCCGCAGAATGCACGTCATCCAACGTCACTGGCCCAAGGCCGCGGACAGCACGGCCTTATCACGGGGTGAGAGTTTTGTGGTCGGCAGCCGTGTGCCGTCAACGACGTGACCTGCAGGCGCGTGCAAAGTTTTGCACTCAGGGTGGTCAGGGTATCGGAAGCAATGTGCTAGCCGAGTTCGGCGAATAGAGACTGCCGCCAGGACCACCGAGCAGTACCTAACTTGAGGTGCGCCGCGCCAGGATGCTGATGAGGTGTGCCGCGCCAGGATGCTGGTAAGGTGTGCTGCACCAGGATGCTGGTGGGTGCGCCGCGCCAGGATGCTGGTGGGTGTGCCGCACCAGGATGCTGGTGAGGCATGCCGCGCCAGGATGCTGGTAAGGTGTGCTGCACCAGGATGCTGGTGGGTGTGCCGCCCCAGGATGCTGGTGAGGTGTGCCGCCCCAGGATGCTGGTGAGGTGTGCCGCCCCAGGATGCTGGTGGGTGTGCCGCACCAGGATGCTGGTGAGGTGTGCTGCACCAGGATGCTGGTGGGTGTGCCGCACCAGGATGCTGGTGAGGTGTGCCGCGTCAGGATGCTGGTGAGGTGTGCTGCACCAGGATGCTGGTGGGTGTGCCGCACCAGGATGCTGGTGAGATGTGCCGCGCCAGGATACTAATGAGGTGCGAGTGCTCAACTTTCCTTAGCAACTCCCCGGAACCCATTTGCAGAAGCTGAGAATGTCAAGGTTTGGTGCGGTTGGGGGCTTCGATAGACACTGGTGTCTGGGTGATCGGTTTCGATCGACTGCAGCTGGTATCAACGACGACACAGTGGACGTGGTCATTGGAGTATAAGCCACAGAGCAGGAGGTACACAGAGTGGGTTGCTTTGAGCTCACGAGACATGACTGGGCCGTTTGGGTCGATGGCGGTAATGAAGAAGCTGCAAAGATGTCCTCCATTACCACGAGGACATCCGTAAGTTCGTCGTCTGCCTTTGTTGCTGCACACAAGCTGACCTCTTCTTGGAGTGGTTCCAGCAACTTGGCGCTGCATCCCGCACTGCAATTGCATCAGGGGGCCTGCTCTGCGGGACAAATCAAAGAAGAATTATCTTATTCAAGACTGACAGCATCTGGCCGCCTCACTGGCTGGGTCACGCCCTGTGAACTCTTTTGTGTGGGGTCACGCGAGAAACCAGGCTTTCAAAACAAAACCAAGGACAGTGCAGGACCTGCGGCGGCTGTGGCGGCGGCCATGCCATCCATCTCCGATGAAACCTGCCAGCATGTTGTTAAAAAGCTCCCCAGAGGATCGAGACAGCCCTGCAGGATCGGGGGTCGCATGTGGCGGAAGCATGATAGCCGACTAGCTCTGTGTTACTGACAGCTATTATTGCTCGTTTGCACGTGACAGTATTGTAAAGCATCCACGATATGTCCATTTAAAACGTCCGCGCTTTTTGGCTGCAATGACGGGTTGTAAATTGGTATGAAGTGAACAATCTGATTTGTGCGAATTTGAAAGCGTTTTTTTTTTTCATTTTCGGTGCACCCGTATATTTCCAGCTGAAGCGGAGCGATGATCTGAAATTGGTATATTTGGACAATACGTCTGTGGTGTCTGTTGGGCAATATGTCTGCGCCGTTACGTGCCATCAGAGGTCACGGAGAGGTGGACGGAGAGCCTCGCCGGGTCTCCGCTCGGACCGGCCGGGCAGT